TTCCTAACTGCAACTTAAAAAAAAAATCTCCTGTTATTTTTCTCTAGTCCAAGACAATAGCTGAGCAGCTGGCAGAAAAGTTGAATGCACGTTTGGGTTACAGGCCGCAGTCAGAGGAAGAACAGATAACTCTAGAGCCAACAACTGGGGAGACATTCAAGAGGTACGAAGAAGAGTTAGACATCAATGATTTCCCTCAGACTGCAAGATGGAAAGTTACATCCAGGGTAAGCTCACAGATCAGTTTTAAGATTTAATAAAAGCTTTTAATCAGGTAAATATTATATATATAATATTTATACAAATATATATATATATATTTATCTGCTTTTCCAGATAACATTTGTATTTCATCCTTGTTAATGAGGCAAAGTTCAATAACTCTTTTGTTTTGGGAACTTTATGAGGTTCTCCGGCTCTTTGACTTGATCAAGCCTTAGCAGTCTTTGAGCACAGAGAATTTCTGTGTTCCAATGAATTGGCTGTGATGGACTCAAAATATTTTTCATACTGAACCAACATGGCGCCACAAATGAACTCTTCACCTTGTTTTGTTTCACACATCACTCTGATGACTCTGGTCATGTTTCACACATCCGTCTGATGACTCTGGTCATGTTTCACACATCAGTTTCTGGTCATGTTTTACACATTACTCTGAGGACTCTTGGTCAATTTAGCATTTCCATTCAGCTTATATTTTTCAGACACTTTCAGCCTTGGGTTCAGCCCAGACTTATTTCTCACTAGCAGGTAATGGGAGATTATAATACAATTTATACTTTAGGTATTGAAAATGTCTTGCACTCTTATCTAAAACTGAATTTTTGGAGGCAGAAAATCCACTTATACTTTGCTGGTATCCATTTGATAATTTTACTCTAAAAAAGTCTAAACTTGATATAGCTATAACAGATTTGGCAGTCAATATTAACTATGGTTTGATAAACCTTGATTTAAGAGACTGAACCAATCTTCCCTAGCCTGTTTCCTAAAATGGAAATATGGAGTTGTCTGTCTGTTATAACTTTAGAAATTTTTGTAATTCTCAAGCAACCACTACAAAGAAGTGCAGCTTTGCCTTTAAGAGAGGATCTTCTAAGGCGTAGCAGACATCCTTAAAGGATTTGCAAGAGAGCTTGGAAAGTGTTTTGCTTTTAACATCCTTTACATAGATTTCTAGATTTCAGCCTGCTCAATATTTGGTATCATCAGGTAGCTCTTTCAGTTGGCTCAATATTTGGTATCATCAGGTAGCTCTTTCATTTGGCTCAATATTTGGTATCATCAGGTTAGTTCTTTCAGCCGGCTCAATATTTGGTATCTTAGGTAGCTCTTTCAGTTGGCTCGATATTTCATATCCTCATGGTAGTTCTTTCAGCTGGCTTAATATTTGCAAGCCACCTGCAATTAATAAAAGCTATGTTAGAATGTCAAAATTAAAGATTAAATTTAATAGGAATTGGTTTTCTGTATTACTAAAATAAAATGGAACTTATCACAACAGCTTTATGAATCAAAAGGTTTTACTGGAGCTTGAAATAATTGAGTGGAAATACAACAGTTTTTTGATGGTCGTAAAATCTTCTCTTCTAGCAGGACTATCATCAAATAGGCTAATTATACTGATAAGCACATTTTCTATGTCCCATGAGGGTGCAGTAAATCCATTGTGTAAAATATTTAACATACAATCTGAACACAGTCCTCCTCATATTTCTATTGTAAAATATGTTGCCCACAACTCCCTTAAACAACTTAAATGGGCCAGATCGTTCAGTTTCTTTTTTATCATGTAAAACAGTTTTCAGTTCACAGCAGGGCCATCCAAAGACATTAGTAAAACCTTGAGTCCAAGGTCTGTGAAAATAGAATTGAAATTTTTCCAAAAAGCTTTGGCAGGGGCATGTCCAAGAAAATGGGATGATTAAAAAAATGAACTAACTGTATTTGGTCCTAGATGTGAACAGAAATAACCATTTGCTTTTCTTGTATCTGTTCATTGTTTCATCAATTATTAGAAAAAGCTGTTTTAATTTTTGTTTTATATATAATGCTATACCAAAAATGCTGAGATAAAGAATTCCTATTACTATCAGCACATGCTAACTGTTGTTCTACTTCAAATAAAACTTAAATGAATAAGAAGTTTATTAAATAGTTAAAGAAAAGAAACCTGAATAAGAGTCAATATCCTTATAGTTATAGTATAGATTATTGTTAATCTCAATCAATGTGCTTGGGTGGCCAAGTGGTCTAAACTGAGTCAATCCAAAGCTTGTGGACTGGAGCTCAATCCCCACCAAAAGCCTAGACTAGCAAAACCATCACCAACATCCCGTATGGATGGAACTCATTAACTTTGATGGCAACTCATTTAAGAGAAGGAAAACACAGAATTCAAACCCAGAGATGGAGTCCCATATGATGAAAATTTTGGCATTTCCTGGGTGGTTACTGGTGCCAAGCTGCATCACCGACACATGACGTTCCCTTAATCTATTCAGATACCTGGAAAGAGGCGGTTTGCTGTTCAGGAAATCAGCTTATCCTTGCAATTTTGTCCTGTGATGTCTACACCATTGTTACCTTGTGATGGATGGATGTATGCCAAAAAAAATTATTTAAACTCCAGACAAAATAATTTGTAGTGGCACTAGTAGCCAAATTAGTATCTTAATTAAATAACTATTGAAAAGAAACCTGAAAGAGTCATTTAAATTTTATGTCATCCAATTTTTAATTTACTGTAGTTTTTTTTTTTTTTTTTTTTTTTTTTTTTTTTTTTTTTTTTTATAACATTTTTTTTTTTTTTTTTTTTTTTTTTTTTGCTCAATTTTTTTTTTGTCTTTATTTTTTTTTTTTTTTTTTTTTTTTTATATTAGTTTTTTTTTTTACAAACATTTTTTTTGTCATCCTCTGCTTTCATTTAGCCAAAATTTTTATTCGGACTTATCGAGCCGTATATAAGTAAAAGGAAAAACTCCCTTCAATATTTAATATTATTATTTGTTTAAGAAATTTGAAGGATTTCAGTAGATATCGCACGCGTGTTGTTAATTCAAATGGACAATGTTAACGAAGGCCAACAAATTTTACAGAACATGTAGGCTTAGTCAAAACAGTCAAAGTTGCTATGGGATCGGTAACTTGTTAAGATTAATTTGACCAATTAAAAAATGTCCACCCCAAAGCTTTGGCATTTCCCCCCATGTTACTAAGTGTGCTTTCTCTTTCTGTGCCCCCAAACAATGGAATACTCTCCAACTACACATCCCCAATATATGCAATATACCGACCATCCATGCCCTCAAAACTGCTCTCAAGAGACATCTCTTCAAACTCTACTATTCCCACTGATTCCCACCTCCTGAACGATGCTACTGGGTGCCTTAAAATAGTTCTGGGGTAGGGGGGGGGAGGTGAATATTTTTTTTTTATAAAGCTGTTTTTTAATTAAATAAATGTATGTAACTTTTTTTATATCATGATTATGTTTGCTATGTAAGACCACTGTTATAATGCTAGTCCAAGGCCCTCTTTGCCAGAAAGCAGAGTGGTATGAACTTCAGATAAGAGCAGGTTATAATTATAAATATTTCTACTTAAAATTTCTGTATAATGTATGTTATTTACATTTGTTGCTACCTCATCCTGAAAAAGTAATTATAACTTATCTTGCCATTCTTTACAGGAAGCACTTGCAACGATTTCAGAATTTTCAGAGGCTGGTATTACAGTGCGGGGTTCTTATTTTCCTCATGGTAAAGAGCCAAAGGAAGGGGAGCGTAAATTATACTTGGCCATTGAGGCCACCAGTGAATTAGCTATAAGTAAAGCTAAGGCTGAGATAATACGCTTAATTAAAGAAGAGCTTATTCGTCTGGTGAGTAGCACAAGAAATTTTACTCTCTCTCTATATATATATATAATCTAAGAGAGAGGTTTACTTATTTTCTATTAATTATAAGACAGGGTTTGGAGGATTTTAGTTCTTTTAAGATCCTTTTTTAAATTTTTTTTATTTATGTTTAAGAATATGTGTGAATATTAATTATTATATTAGTGAATTTCAGATCTTTGCAGTTTCAATCAAATAATTTTTTAAATAACCTGGATAAATGGTAAAAAAATTATATATATAATTTTAGATTTTGTATCATAACAGCATCACATTGTCTTTGTTGAAACTTTCTTGCAGCAATTTATATTTTAAAGATTAGATCTATTCTTTGCTTTTTGTGTTCAAAAATTGCTTAAAAATATATTTTTTTATTGTTTGTTTCAGCAAAACTCATACCAGCCCATCAACCGTGGTCGTTACAAGGTGTTATAGTTGTAAATAAATGGAGAATGTTTTGGAAATTGACTTGCACATGTTTAAATGTGTATCTAGTTCATCCTGTTTCGCCATTATGTTGCTTTGATGAAATTTGTAATAGTAGTATAGATGTGTTGTATTTCAAGAATATTGATGTACTGAAACAAAAATTGATGTTTTATTTCCATTAATATAATATTTTTTATTCATCTAGGAAAATGTAACTGACCAAAAAAAAACCTAAACAAAACAAGCCTTCAAATACAAAATTTTAACAACTGCTTTTATTTATTATTTTAAGTTTACATGATTTCGAAGAAGAAGAACAAGATTTGGTTTTAATTTCTGTTATTGTTGTTTAAGCTCATAGACATTGCCAGAGCTAATCTGGTAAAGAGGACCATATTTCACCTTCCATTCTTAGGAGTTTTTAATTAGATAAAAAATATAATTTAATTGATAAATTTCAGATTTTTTCTTCTTGGTTTAGTAGAACTTAGTACACTCTTTCCCCATAGACTGTACTTTATACCTAAATAAAAATATCTACTTAATAACAATATATGTGTAAATTAAAATTCATTTAAACATTTTCCTGATTGAAAATATAAACCTCTAAAAAATATCTATCAATCCTAGACACACAAATATGCATTAACTTGATAGATAAACACATAAAGAAATAAATACCACTTTAATTTTTAAAAAGTTTTTTGGGCATTTTCTAAATAACACAACCCCCCCACCCACCACAGCATATTGACTTGCCCATTTTCAAATATTTCAAGAGCATATGCTATATATGGAGAAGGGCTGATTTGAAATGAATTTGAACAAAAAGGATTTTGCTACCAGTATTTCTAAATATACAAGTATGTAAATACAAACATGTGGTTCTCTAAAATAAAATACATTGAGAAAATATTTTATTCGATATTATTCCCATTTTTAAAGCAGCAATGATAAAACTATTCTAATTCTAAACAGTGATGTGCCTGATTGGTTTCTAGGTTTTGAAATGAAGGAGGGGTGAAAACTTGAGAGAATTAAATAGTTAAAATTACCATTTTTTGTTCCAGTCTCTAAAAAACATGAAACTTATATTAAAATTACTAAGGTGAGCAAGCAGCAGCTGACTTTCTACAGATTCTCATTTTAATTTCAGTTAGATAGTTAATGTTTAAAAATACTTTAAAATAAACAAATTTAAAAATTGAAAAGAGATGATCAGCTGGAGTCAATGAAACAAATGGACATGTTATATGTTTTGGACTAAGGCAGTTGTAATATTTATTTCCATTATCTACTAAACTGAAAAGGATTATTGGATATTAAAAAAAAAAAAAATTAAATAATTAGTTCTAATGCTTAACAGACTAAAGTAGTATGATACTTCTCTTCAATATTTAATTCTACAATGAAAATAGAAATAATCAAGAAGTTGGGATAAGTCTTATAAAAAAATTTTTCATGTGAAAAATTTTAATTTGGGAGTCTCATACTTTGCAATAAAGATGAGTAATACAGCATTAACCAACTGTTCCAGCTATCCACCATTTTGATTAATTAATAAATCTTAAATGATTAAAAAAAATTTAAGCAATTTCATATTTTTTTTAAAAAGTGCAAGTCTATTTAAGTTATTTAAGTAACTTTATTTAAAATCTCAAAAATAGTAGACAGTTACTACACTGATTCAATAAATTTTAAGAAAGGCTGAAAATATTTTCTTTTATTTGAGAAAATATCCAAACAAATTGAAATATTATATTATTTGTAGCTTACCAAAGCCTTGATGTTACAAAAATAAATAAATTTCTTTTTTTTAAAAATACAATTTATAAATGGTTTTAAATATAAACAAATATTTTTAATAAATTTGTTTAAAAATCCACATTATTCTGAGGAGAAAAAAAGCAATGACAAAAAATGATTAGCGTGAAGATCTAATATAATTTTCCTGTGGGGAAGTTATTTTTTAGTATTAATAAACGCTTCAGCTAACTAAATCCCCAAATTTTAAGCCAACATTCAGAATTTCAATTGGTCATGATTGCAAAGTGTTGGAGATAGTCTTATCCAATGAGTTTTTAAGTTGCAGACAACGTTAGAACAAATAATTGCTGCACAGTGAACAACAGAGTAAAGATTTAAGTTAATCAGAACTGTCTTCACTGGTTAAAGCTGCTCTATGGCTGCTTTGTCTCTCAATTACCTTGCTTTTAGGTCTGTTAGCAACATTTAAACTTTGAAATATGTAATCAAATAATGTTAGATCACTTGGTAACTTTGAAAAGTTCTGTCCATATTCTGTGATCAATCCAAATGCACTTCCTGAAATAAAAGATACAAATATTACATTATACTTCAAGTAGTCTTTCTACAATAAAAAAATTAAAATAAACAATATCAATCCCCTCATATTAAAAAGCTTCAAACTTTTCATACACATTTTAACTTTAACACTAGTCAAAATTTAACATTTTCAAGTCCATGCACCTTCTGTGCAACAACCTTGGCCCATGCTAAAGACACTAAACTTTGTTGACACATTTCTAAGATTAACTTACTGACTGTAACTTTTTCTTTTACGATGGTCTCGTACAAATACTCAAGCTGATCTCTAAGTTCACCATCACCAAAAGTGAAGTAATGCACTTCCCGTTCGGCCAAACTTGCTGCCATCAGTTGGATCAAAGCTAAAATATTTGTTACAATGTTTAGACAGGCATCTTGGTATTAGTAATAGTTATGAATCAGTTTGTCATATTCAGATCTTAATAACCCTCCCCCAACAAACTCCTTTCTTCCAGCAAATAAATAGTGCAACAAGATATATTTAGGCTTGGAAGAAATACATGACAATTAATTGAATCAATCAGTCTTTTCGGCAAGATCCCTTCATCAGGCGACATTCTGTCTTTTTTTTCAAGCATAAACATATCTTGTTACAGATTTATTTACTTAATAAGTCTTGAACGCATTCCCTTATATATTAGTGTTCCTTGCAGCACAATGAACACCAATGTGTATATATCAACTGACAATGTTTTTACCTTTCACCTGTTTGTCGCCACCAAATGCTCCACATCCCCAGTTTCCAGTACACACAGGTGGCAGTCTGAGATTTTTTACTTGAAATTCTTCATATTTGTACTTTCCGCTGAATGCACAGTAGGCCTGAAAAAAACAAAGTTAGGTAAAATTAATAGCACTATCGCGAAAGGGTTGCTGATACGAATGTTATTTAAATCCACCTAGACCTAGACATTGAAGATCCTTAATTAAAATTAATTTTAAGAACAAAGATGGAGTTTATGGGGTTAATAATAGGCATTGGTAATAACGTTAGACATTTTATGCAAATTAGCATATTTATATTCAACACTCAGCTACCTATTGCCCTTTTTTTTTAAGCTTTCATTTTTGGTACATAATTTTTTGTTCATAATTAGCATGTGCAGGCTTAAAATTTTAATTAAGGCTTGTTTGTAAGTTTATTTCATATATTAGAATAGAAATAACCAGCTGAACAAAAATAATTGTGGTGGCCATGCATGAACTTGTTACTTGACAAGACATGCATGGAAGTAACATACTTTTATAAGATTTAAAATGATTTGATTTCCATAAAAACAACTTAATAGTATCAGTGTTTTTAAGAATCCCATTTAGAGTTATTAATTTTATTTATAAAGGCTATTGAACACAAATTTGCATACTGTTTGGTGCAGTTGTTTGGGAGTTTAATGTGCGTGCCTATTGAACACAGAGTTATAGCTATTACTGAGATACCTAGAGAATTATTATTTGTGACATCTGATATTAGTAATATTACAGCATGACAGTTAGTAAGTAATTAAATTTAAAATGATAAATTAAACGTTTGTCTGATGTTATCTAAGTCTCAGCCAACAAATCTTTCAAATAAATTTGAGGATTTAACTCATAATACCGGTATATAAATTAAATAAACTAGTTATTCAAAAATGGCATGACCTTTTTAAGTTCTCTGGTCAACTGATGGTACTTGAACTGATCTGAGAAATTTCTTATAACTAAGGCATCCATTGCCACAACTTCAGTAGACCTCCTGCCCCAGTTGTCCCTGAAATACAAATATGTATCCATGAGTTGTGAACCACCAAACAATGATAGATCCCATGACCCAATACAATGTTAAAAGATCTATGATGATTCACCAACTCCCATGTCACCAACATTAATAAAGAAATTATTTGATTACAAAAGGGATAATTTACGTACACAGGTGGTTATAAAAAAAATGTTTCAATAAAATCTATGTTAAGTTTGTTTGTGTTTTTTGTTTTGTTTCATGTTTGTTAGTTCCACATATGCAAATTATATGTTGTGTAATTGATCTTGACCAAAGACGTTATTTTTTTATACTTATATAGTAGACACTTTAAAACAAATGTACAACAATTACCGAGGAATTTCTCTCTTGGGCTTAGTTGGAAAAACATTTCCCACATCACACTTAAACAATTGCAGAATCAGGCTAACCACATCTACCCCAATATAGCTATCAACTATAGACATGATATTCTCGTTATGCCCATTGGTAGAGAAGTGTCGTGACCAGCATAAGCCTCTGACTTAGGTATTCGACTTGGTAAGTCCAAGTGCCCTGTTCAGTATCTTGCATAGAATAGGTAGTCCTCCATGACTGCTCACAATCATACAGTCATTTCAAGAAAATATGCACAACACAGTAACTTTAAATGGTGCAGTCTTTGAGGCATTCCCAGTGGAGTAAAACAAGGTTGTGTACTGGCATCAACACTCTTCTCCATTTTTCTTCTTGATGCTTCTTTGATTTGCCTTCAGGGACTGTGAAGACAAAGACTGTACATCCATACCAGGTTTGATGTTAGGCTGTTCAATATTGCCCGCCTTTGTGCAAAGAACAATGTAAAAAAGGTACTGCTTTTCACTGACGATGCTGCCTTAGCATTGCACACAGAAGGTCTTCAGCGGCTAGCCTCTCACATGCATTTAAAGTTTGGCCTGTCAGAAAACAAATGTCATGATGCATATCTATTGAGGGCCATCATCTGTCGGTTGTTGAGCATGGATTCAATATCTCTAGTTCTCTCTCTGTTGATGAGGAGATGAACATCGGGATCGCAAAATCTGCAGCAACTATGGCTAAATTGAATAAGCGAGAGTGGAATAATCTTAAAGTAACTGATAGTACAAAACTAAGCATCTATCAGGGATGTGTGCTTAGCATGCTCCTAAATGGCAGTGAAGTGTGGACCACATATGTCAGTCATGAGCGGAAACTCAACAGCTTCCATCAAAGATGTGTGCGTCGGATTTTACACATTCGATGGCAGGACAAAATGCCTAACACAGAGGTATTGGAATGGCAAAAATCTGTCGCTCTTAGCAAGAGGCGCTTTCACTGGTTATGCCATGTAAGGAGAATGGAGGAAGGCCGCATTCCAAAGAATCTGCTGTATAGAGAGCAGAAGGGGCAAGACTTATTGGATGGCCACAGCTGCGACTTATAGACATTTGCAAAAGCAGCAAGAGGGAAGCCAACATAGAAATCAGCGAATGGCAGATCATCACTGAGCAACATTCCAGCTGGCAAACGGCAGTGTATGAAGGAATTTTATTAGCACTTTTTAACTTGACCTACACCACCCATTAAAATAAAAAATTATATTTCAATAGTGCAAACTATAATGAGATAGAGGATATTTTTTGATATGCAAATTGTAGTTATGTGAAATAGAGAAAAAATTTTAAAGAAAGGAGAGAGAGCTGCTGTCAGCAGTGACATGAATTCCTCATTTTAAAAACACAATTACTAAAGCATTAACTCATAAATACTTCTCATAAATCTAACCTCTGAGTTTCATCCATGAAATTATCATCAAATTTGAAAGTATCCGAGTATCCAGTGTAGCTACTGAACCTTTCGCAACCTAAAGGAAAGTGAAGTGGACAAATACATTAGCAATAATCACATGTTACATCTTTATGACTAAATGTTGGGTACCGAAATAAAGCAATAAAATAAGTTATTTTTTAAAGTAATGTGAAGTCACCTACAGTTCAGAAGTGTATTACTATAATACAGCTTTTTATGTAAGGGTTTGCTCCCTTCACCTGTGTGTTATTTCCCATAACCTGTGATGCATTTTGGGTTCTTCCTCTGTGCATGATTCCCTCCCTTACAAGTGATCTATAAATTATCAATTACCTGTCATGATAAGAACCTCATTCTCCGTAAGGCATTCAGTAAACAGACGTGCCACAATCATTTCAGGGCATATCATAAAACGTATCTCTTCTTGCACTAAACCTTGACCAAGGGCGCCACCACCAACGTATTTGTTTGCAAAGTCAGCCTGTGGAATCAATTGGAGATGGTCAGTGTATACTCTTGTTAATAAACTCTTCTTGGTCACGATAAAAGTATGCTTAAATTCATCATTTTGGATTATATTTGGCCAAATAGAATATCATATATATTTTGTTCCTATAATATTTTAGTACATATTTAGCTGCTGTCTATTTTTCAATTATGTTGTATTTTAAAATTACTTGTAGCATATTCTCCCCGTTGTCTTCAATGGTTCCATTTTCAAAGACTGTTAGCTTGTTCAAATATGATCTATTTTCTTTCCAGTTTGGAATATCCTTGTCAAACAGATATTGGCGTGTGTAAGTTAGTGTCCCGACTGGCACTGAACATTTTTACAGGGAAATAGAACATAAGTTTAGCTTATGGAAATGAAATAAGGGATGCAATAGAATAATAAAACTATTATTTTAGAATAACGAAAGCAATTTAAGGTACATTTTTTATTTTAAAAGTAAACTTTAAAATTGATATTATTTTCAAGGCTTAAAAAACTAATAGTAAAATGAAATTCAGAGCTTGCTGTAAATGAAATAGCAGACCTGTTTACCCTCAAACTCTTAAAATCGTACAATAGCATCACGAAATCATTCAATACATTATCTTAATAGTAAAAAATGTAAACATACAGTATATATAATGTATATTGTATACACCTAAAAATTGTACATTGTATGCCAAAATCGTAAGAGTAAACAGGTCTGTAATAAAGAGAAAATAATAAATAACATGACTGCAATAGATAATTAAAAGCCTCACACCCAATTTAGATAAAACACAATCTAAAATGAAATTATTATATTGTATGTTTTTTTTGGTTACCGGAAATTTGATCGAAAGAAATTTCGTCGACGGTAAATTGATCGAACGGAAATTTGGTCGAATCTTTTTTTCAGTCCACACGTCAAAATTTTCGTTATATTTCTTTTTGAACGCACTATACTATATAGTAAAACAAAATAATGCGTTCAAAAAGAAATTTGAAGCAAGATTTTAACGTAAAAACTGAAAAATTGATTCGACCAAATTTCCGTTCGACCAAATTTCTGTTGATCAATTTACCGTCGACGAAATTTCTTTCGATCAAATTTCCGGATACGTTTTTTTTTACTTGCCATGAAGTTCTTGGTAGGGCCAATGTGTACTATGCGTAAAAATGAAAACAAAAATTGCAGACCATTGATTTAGTGGAAAATATTTGCATACAAATAGATTAGCCATGAGAAAAAGGTTTAGAAAATGAAATATTTTCTACTTACTGTTTTCAGTGACTCGCTTGAAGTAGTTAATTATGCATTTCAATTTTTCAATTTTTCTATTGGACCGTGATCCACTGTATAAACTGTCAAATAAGAATTTAATAAAAATAATTTTATTGGATTAAATAGTACACATATATAAAAATAAAAGGTATTATTATTTACTTATTAAAATTTCATGCAGAAGTAAACTGCACGACATGGACAAAAATAACCTAAGTTAAGTTACACGCACATAAGGTAACTTTATGATGCCTTTTTTATGCCTACTAAATCTATAAAAGTGATTTAAATAATTTTAGATTCATTTATTTTAAATATGACACAAATTTGATAAAAGCATATTTAACCCATTCAACTGGGGTTACTCCAAAATTATACCAATTGATTCCAAGCTATAGGAGAGAAACTACAAATATTAAATATAAATGTAATACAAAAAGGTTTAACATATAAATAAATCAATTTTGTGATATAATCACTGGGTTACTAACACTGAATAAAAAAATACCATATTTAATATTCTTTGCCCAATGGTATGACAAAATATATGGCAGTAAGCTCCTTTGGTCTCGTAAGTTTGCTCATATTAATAATGAGAGTTACCCTTCAATGTAACAATGTGTAAACAGAGTTTTGGACTACTGAATTTGGTAGCTAAGGAGTTAAATGGGTTCAAATGAAATCTTTTATGCACTTTGCTGAGCTCTCATGAAATGATATTAATAAAAATTACCTGGTCTAATAAATACAAAACCTACTTAAAAAATTAAAGCAAACCTACTTGCTAAAGTTGATATCTGGCAGTTTGCTGCCTCTAGCTTTGAAGTTTCTTTTTGGAAAAGTACAGAAAAAAGCATTGGCCAGGAGGCAGGCTGCCTGCTCCTGAGTTATGCTGATTTTCATGTTTTTATATTGTCCCAAAATGGGCAGTGACTGAAATCATAAAAAAAATCGCCACAAAAGTTTAGCAATGGAAATTTTAAGAATAATATTGCTCTATTCCATGCTATGCTACATAAATGTTAGAATCAAATAGAAATGGTTTTCAAATTGTTCATGTAGCTTTATACAACAGGAAAAACAAATTTTAATTTAATTATTCTTCTGATATTATTCTACTGTATGAAATCGCATCACTTTTGTGTACAATCTTGATTATTTCTGTGAAAAATTAAAGTTTATCTTAAATTTATTAGTGTATAATTTAACGTCTTTCTGTACAAATATTTAAATACATCTAGCAATCAACATTTAATAAAATATCTTGTAAATCTTATTGTGAAGATCCATGTCAAAATAAGTGGAAATGTGCTCAGGAGAAAACATAAGGAATTTTAAGTTTAAAACACACCCTGGGTTTTCCTATACCTTCCACCAATAGGTCAGATTTATGAGGTTGCATTAAACTATACAAAAAAATATTTTAACCACCCCAGTCAGTGCATAAGAACTGAATAAATGAAAGAAGTGAGAATGAAGGCTCTTCAGTTAAAGAGTGAGGGATCTATTATTTTTACAACTTATTTTTTAACACAGTTAACAACTTATAATGTATTTTCTCTTCTCTAACCCATGTGGATATTTATGTTTCTTATAAGCATGGCTTGTCTTCTTTTTTTGTGGAATAATTCCAGACAACAGGCCTGCTTCTTCAACAAAAAAATATAGTCCCTTGTTTTGGTTGTGAGTTTACTTCAGTCTGTATTTTAAAAAATGAACATTACTACCTCAACATTACAGATGAGAGTTAAAATAAATGTACAAATATAAATACTTATTTACTTCTGTGCAAATGATTGGCAACTTGAGAGCCAATCTCTTCATTTCTGGAAGGGTTTCCTGGAAAAATCTGTCTTTATCTTCATCCCTCAACTGAAATAAATACCATTACAAATAATAATTTGTTAATTTAGTAAAAAATTTTTAAACATTGTAAGAGTAAGTTTATATTTCAATAAGCTATTTGAGATAAGGAACAAGACTTACTTATCCAACTACCTGAACCTTTTAAAATCCTCCCTATTAAGAAATCTACAGTATTTAGCATTTTTATTTCTTTCACTAGAAGTTAGAAATGTATCTTTTCCTACAAAAAATGTTAATATGTTTATTAGATTTAAAATGAAATAATGGATTCCACACAAAGTATGACTCCAAATTAAAATCTTTCTTGTTAACCTGATCAAAATATTCATATAGTGAATGAAAGTTCCATTTCTTCTCATAATGTTGATTGTAGGACAATATCACTTCCTGTGGGGGAAAAAGGCAAATTAAATATGTAAAAAATGCATTGTGTGAAAACAGTAAACCTGCACATCATACAAAATGCAATTATTGTTGTGCAGCTATTAGTTTCAATTGATTAAAATCCCTCTACCATTACATTAAGTCATGTAAAAAAACTAGGCAAATCTGTTTGATTTTATTTAACTTTGATGACATTATTTTTAAATACAAAGATATATGAATTTTATTCATAGGGTAGTTTTGTTACCTAGAATGGTTAATGTATGCATATTGAAAATGTTAAAATATCGCAACTTTGTAACACACAATAGTTGGAAATTTCCAAAAACTGTAATGAATTTCTCTATGAGTTTTTAAAATATTTTTTTTCTTAACATTTTAAAAAATTAAAAAGTTTATGGTAAATTTAATAAGCGTTTCTTCTGAGTACATTGTTAAAAATGAGCCCAGGTCCTTCATATTAAAATGCATGGGTAAAAAACCCCTACACATTTAGGATTTCCTATTTAAGTGAAAAGAAATGTCTAACCTCTAACTCAAAGACACCAGGAATATTTTTACTCAGAGCAACTTGAATCCTCTCCCATCTATTAACAGTACCAAACTAGAAATAAAGTGAAATATTAAGTTTATGAAAAGAAATCAATAAAGACAGTCATATTATAAAAGGCAAGAGTCATTTTCGTCTTTGTGTCCCTCAAACATCTTGTCAAATTAAAATTTACAATATTTTACAAGTCAGTTAAGGAATAAAACTTACATGATGGTGACTCTGAATGAGTTCACTCCCTTCATTACAAAGTGAGAGAGATGAAAAGCAATAATTAACCCAACTTATTATCTACATGCTGCAGTTACCCCCAATCACCATTATTTGTTCCATTTCCAACAGTGCACAAACAAAAACCAATTGAATACATCATTTTTTTTTTAAATTAGAAAAACAACAACTTTTTAACACAACTTTCAAAATACAACTAAAATTACAGCTGTTTCCATTCTTTAAAGATGAGTTACCATTTCAGTCAGATAAGTAAGATATTGACAAATCAATTGATTAGAAAAAAACATAATAAAATAATAAATAGGTATGTGTCTAAATATGTTAATTAATAGGAATGTGTGTAATTATGTTGTGCAATTAAAATATACTAATTAATCATAATAAAGGGTAATGTTACAGAATTAATGACAATATTAGTAAATTGCATTTATGTGTGTGCAGGGGTTTGTTAAAATTAGTCTTGAGTAAGACATTTGATGCCAAGAAGGTGACAGGTACGTTATATATATTTTTTGAACTTAACAGGAAAAAATATAACAAATGATATCAAACACAGTAATTATTGCCTTAATAATATAAAAAAAAGACATTGTTTTTATTATAATTTTTAGATTTGAACAAAAACCAGATTATTTTACCCCTGAGCCTGAAGGCATATAACTCCGAGCTGAACACGGCATGAACACAAACTTGTCAGACTTTTCATCCCAATGATCCCTATATGAATCAGGATAAGGCTTGGGCGGTCGCTTCATATCCACTGACTGCAAAAACAAACAAATAATTAAACACATACAAAGGATATAACTAGGTCTCTCTGATTGGCTAAGAAAATGGGTTTCTTTTGGTTTTAAGTAAGTAAACTTGTTTCAGGAATATTGTGAGACATAATAACTTGAGCATAGAATTAATCTCTCAAACAGTCTTCAAGGAAATGAAATTCCTACACAAGAAGAGAGCTAACTAACCTCAAGGTCGAAAAATATTTTATGCCATTCAAAATTACGAGGGTTCAGCTTAGGCAAATACTTGGGATTTAGTTCTTTCTTCTTGTCCTCAACATTATCCTGAAATGAAATATTTAGATTTACAATACATTTAACCATACAGAAAGAAGACAATTACAGTAGTCAAAGTTTGAGTCATTTCTTCACAGCAAGACCAGAAAAACTCACAAGAAATATAAAAAAATGTTGTCACTGTCCATATTGACAATACTTACATATGAACCTTAATGGGAAACTTTTTTCTTTCAAAACATAAGAATTTCTAGGCGAGATCCCGAAAATAATTGCCAAAATCACTAACTCAATGAAAATATTATAAAGGCAATCAAACTAACCATTCTTCCTGATTTTTCTTCAGCTACCCTATCTGATCCACTTGAATGAAAATGTTCACTTTGGCGATGACGGCTGAAATTGAAAGGAATTAAATAAAAAATATATTTAATTTTTATACTTCTACATAAAAGAGGATATAACGCTAGTAAAATTAAATACATTAAAAAAAAAAATTATCACTGTTTAGTATTTTCATGACACAATAAAAATGTACAGGCTTACTATTCATCTTTGCTGTCACTGCTCTTCCTGTCATTGCTTGTAGATGGTCCACATGAAAAATTTGAGTCTTCTTTGAGCCCCACATTGGGTCCTTCAAATGGTAAGCTGTTGCGAGAATGTCTACTGTCTAAATCTTTCCCCCTACCGTGTGTTGATGGTCCCCGAGGTTCACCTTTAGAGAGTTTAATAATTGCATATGGCAGTGTAGATATCTTCTTTAAAGTTGGTAAATGGTTAAAAGTACCAAAAAACGTAACATCCATCAATGTTTTGGAATAAAGTATCAGAGTCATTTTCTCAAAACAAATAGTCACATACATTTTTTTTAAAACTTCAACTTCTTGTTAAAGTGCGTTCAATTTGAATGGTAGTAAATAAGAGTACATATTGTGTTGATTTAATATGATTTCTCCTCGCTTCATTGTCTAGATTCAACAACATTACAGCAGAACTCTTTCGTAAGAGTCATGCCAATACTTGCTACCAATAACGACAGCAACACCACTTGATAAAATACCACAGTTCTGATCTTTAATATTAAAATTTGCTCTGTGTTAAAAATGTGAGAGTTATCTTTTACATCATAAAAAAAGGTGTTTCACACCAAGTTACAAACAATGAATACTGTCCACTTAATAACCACGAGGACTTTCAATAGTACTTTTCCGGCCACTGACGACTCACTAAAAGACTACAGCTGTACAAGAACTCAACTTGAACTATTGGGGAACTAACATGAACTACTGCCCCTGATGTACTAGAACTAACTATCCTATCGAGCTCACACACCTTAAATGCACATGCACTAATTTAATTCCTTGACCTATGAAATATAGATATATAAAAATACAACTCATATGTTCAAGTCATGCACCAAAAGCATTCACACTAAGCTCTCATCCCTTGACACATCCAGTCATTTGTTGTTTTAGATGCTTCTCATGGAGCAGAATGGTCCTAAGCATACATATAATGTCAGGGTAAGGAATCATAGTCTCACAACCATGCCCTTAATTTACATCACTTAAACTCCTATCAATTCAATTCCCAATCGACATCCATCTTTTTCACAATGCAATCTGTGAAACAAAGCAGCATGCTGGAAACACTGGGCTAGTCACAGTTGGAGGAACGACGACAACTATCCAGGCTCTCCATGATGTCCAAGATAAAAAAAGGGCTGGTTCACTGCTCCAGCAATAAACAGAAACTCATCCCTCTCCCCCATAGATAGCAACAAGGCCATGACAGGCAGTGAGAACCCAGTATAGGAACTGCTCCTTCCTGCCAAAGACAATCAGGGACCTAGTGAGGCAACTACACTTGATACATTTGCGTCTGTTGCCTCCTGTCTTCCAACCCCCAGTTACCATTGCTGAGTAGCCCTTGCAACAAGTATGCCTTTCAAAACCATGCACAGTTACATTGCGACCCCCTCTGAAAAATAGGAGCCAGAATAATCAATACGTTGATCATGGGCCCTCAAAATGTAGAAGAAGTTGGACTTAGCATAAATAAAGAGAAAACCAAGACCTTAAGAATAAACGCAGCTGATGGGGTCATTGGGATTAACTTGAGAGGAGCATCTCTTGAAGAAGTTGAAACTTTTACATACCTGGGAAGCATCATATATAAATTTTTGGGGTGGGGGGGGGAGGAGAGAAAGAGAGAGACCAGATGAAAACAAGGTCTAGAGTCCAAAAGGCCAGAGGAACATTCAGTGCTCTGTGAAACTTCTGCAACTCAAGTGAAATACTCACAAAAACAAAGTTAAAAATGTTCAACTCAAATGTCAAGGCAACTCTTCTGTGAACTTGGAGAACAACAAAAACAAACATTAAAAAACTGCAGGTTTTTATAAGCAGATGCTTGCGAAGGATCCTCAAAATTAGAAGGTTTGACAAAATTTTTAACACTATCCTTTGGGAGAGAACATCAAGTGTTTCAGTGAAAACGGAGATACAAAAGATAAAATGGAGATGGTTAGGGAACACATTAAGTAAACCAAACACTGACATCATAAGTCAGGTCCTGAATGGGAATGCTCAAGGAACCAAGAAAATAGGAAGACCAAGAGCAACCCTGAAGAGGGGATTTGAGGCAGAGGTGAAGAGAATGAAGAAAAGTTTGGACTGAACTAGCAAAGATAGCCCAAGACAGAGACAGATGGAATAATACTGTGGATGGCCTATGCTCCATTGGGTGTGAGAAAGGCTAAGAAGAAAAAAAGATATCACTGGATCTCAAGTTATCAAATGGACTAACCAACTAACTCCTTACACTTTACAGTAGATCTTATTAACAAATATAACTGTCATTTGCACATTCCCTGTTTACTCTCAATAGCATCCCCCCCCCCCCTTCCCATCCCAGGGAAGCATCAGACGACCTGTAATAGGGATTTCCACATAAAACCTAGCAACTAATTTACGAAGCAGCTGAGGCGAAACGGTTGCATAGGAACAGCTTCCTCAATGTTGTGTCAATAGAATCATTGGCATGAGGTTGCGACCACCCACCCCATGCCTCATATCCTTTAATGGCAACATGCAATCATAATCCCCGATTTTTTATTCACGGCAGTTATGTATCAGTATTCAAAATTTACAATTTCACCATTCTTATCCTTTCACAACTGCCTCACAGATGAAAAAAAATCAATACATCTGGTTTCATTTGCACTATCTAGAAATTATAATTGAAATTCTGAAATTAAAATTGAAATTCTGTTTGCTTTAATAATTGTAATAGTTCATGCACAAAAGTTATAAGCAATTTTAAAGTTTATCATTGAAATTTGTCATGAAAATTTGTTAAGTTTCTAAATTGGATATGTATTTTTTTAACACTTGCTAAACAATTGTAAATGATAGCAGTACAACAAGACTCAATGAAATGAAGTCGTTACTCATAAGCATTTCTTACCTTTATTGCAATGATTCTTTCCTCTCCTAAAAATAAATACATAAATTTAAAAATGCTGGGACACTGTATTTCATAAAAATCTAATGAACTTGAAGAAATTTAAAGAGCTTTGGTATCTGAAAAGTTAAGAATACTGTTCCATGATCTCTATTCAGACACCTAACATTATCCATGGATCTTTATCCCCCACAAAATTAAAAATAAGCTGATATAGACATTGCAAAGAACAACTAATTAAAAAATTGTTATAATATTTAATCTGGGAACCAAGTAACGGTGCATTCTATGTGAGATACACACACACAAAATATTCAAAAATTGGATGTTGCACTTTATTTAGCTGAATGTACTGATGGTTTATTAACAAAATCACTTTACCTAATCTCACTGCTAGAAATGAAGTATCTTTACATCATGAATGGAATAAATAACATGAAACCCAACATATTATGTGGCATGTTAAAAATGTATTTGATAACTTCAAATTTGAAATAAAACCAAATATCTTTGGAAGGGTGATGTTAAAAAAGTACTTATTTGTCTGGATCTTACTGAAAGCAGACAGCATAAATCTAGCATCATTATAAATAACAGAACGTTGCTATTAAATCAGACTGTTAAGACCTTTAAAAGCTCTCCAATTTGTTGGACTTAGCTATTTGTTGTATCACTCAGTAGTAATACAGTAGTACACAGATATTTGTTGTAACACTCAGTAGTAACACAATGGTACACAGATATTTGTTGTAACACTCAGTAGTAACACAGTGGTACACAAATATTTGTTGTATCACTCAGTAGTAACACAGCAGACCTGTTTACTCTTATGATTTTGGCGTACAATGTACGATTTTGAGGTGTAAACATTATATATACTGTATGTTTATTTTTTACTATAAATATAAGGTACTGAACAATTATGTGATGATATTGTACGATTTTAAGAGTTTGAGGGTAAACAGGTCTGACACAGTGGTACACAAATATTTGTTGTATCACTTTGTTGTATCACTCACTAGAAACACAAAGGTACACAAATATTTGTTGTATCACTCAGTAGAAACACAAAGGTACACAAATTATAATCTGAAAGAATAAGAAGATCCAGTACTCACCCATGACCAGCAACAGCATCTGAGTAACTCATATTGAGCCTTTTCCCCCTGGTTTCCAATGGATCACCTGAAAATAAAAGTATTGCACTAAAACAAATAGTGATAGGGAATTTTTTGAACACTTAGTGGGCCAGATAAAAGCTTCTCATTTCATGGATGGTGTTTTTTTTAAAGAAATTGGTCACAGCTGTAAGTGTTATCATTGCTTCTGTTATTATTAAAAACTAGAAGATGTGAAAAGACGTAGTGGGGATAATAATAATGGTAGGTAGGCAATTTGCAATCCTTGCTACCTGCTACTGCGAAGTCTCAACATAAAAAAAATCCTAATTTTTTACATGCATAGCTCAAACACATTTTGATGTTTTATATACCGGTACCTATAATATTTTAAAACGACAATATTCCACGTCCTTGAAATATATATTTAGGAAATAGTTAATCCTTATTTTAAAAAGAAGTATCTTTGCATCATTTAGTGCTGAGAAATATTCAGCCGCTATAAAATATAAGCCTACCATTCCCCTATTTGCACACCTGAACTACAATTTTATTTTCTCTAAAAATTGTAAAAACATGTCCTTAAATTTATTTTTTGAAAAATCTATAAACCATTTTAAATATCTTCAACATTAACAGAATTTAATATATTGGTATCTTCACTACAAATGTAACCAATCTGTTGCCTCGTGTCTCTACTCTATTATTGGAAAATCATAAAACATAGAACTCTCATATCTATAGAAAAATCTCTTAACCCATTTTCACCTTTGAAACAGCCTTGATTTTAGTTTTAAAATAAATATTAATCTCATAAAAATTTACACTGACTTTTCCATGAACTTTACTTTTTGCAAATGGAAAAAAAAAATTTTCAAATTTTGAAAGAGAATTGTAACCCATCTTTTTTCACACCCCTAAAATGTGAAGGAAAAAAAAACATGTCTCTATTTTTAAGATTTTTATGTGTGTAAAATGATTTTTTATTTAGTTGTGGGTATACTTATTTAAATGTACCCAGAATTTGTCAATGCAATTAAACTATATTTGAAATATATTAATTTTTAAAAAGAAAATTTAACCCCTCTTTTTCACTTTTGTGAACATGTGTGAAAAGGGAAAGGGGATTTCAGCAATGTGACGTCATTTTAAAAGTAAATCATAATTGACAAAAATTTCACTGGATTACGGATATTTTTAACGTTATTCTCTATACATTTATAATTATTTTGAAACTATGATCACTGAACGAATCAGTGCAGGTATGCAAGGTCAGAAAAATGATCAAGTTACAAGCAGGCACTGAGGAGTAGAATCAGGGTGTAGTGACATTGACAGTCATGAGAATTATTGTCGAAAAGTGGAGACAGGAGTCATAGAATTCAATCCATCCCTGTGGCGCTACAGCCCATGTAGGGCTTTGGCCTGCCTCACTGCTTCCTTCCACTCAGACCTAACTAATGCTTTTCTTTTCCATGCTTGGATTCCCAGCTGCTGTAGATCTTTTTCTACATCATCCATCCATCTAAGCCTAGGTCTGCTTTTGACATTTTTTTCCTCTTGGGTTTTGGTGATGCACCCTCTTCACTCCTCTGTCATTTGGCATTCTTTGCAATAGTCATGCCCAGCGTAGCCTGCCCTTTTTTTTTATTGCTGCTACTAGCTTGGGATCCTGACATAGACTGTACAATTCGTGGTTGGTTTGTATTCTCCATCCATATTCATCCTTTGTTGGTCCATATATTTCTGGTGAACTTTTCCATTGTATGTATTTAATAGGTATTCTGACGCTTTTGTAAGGCTCTAAGTTTATGTATGTTACAACCGGTCTGATTACAGTTTTGTGGTCATAGTTGGGAAGTAAAAATGGTTGATCTGTGTGTGTGAGGGGGGGGGGGGGGGGGTAATCTTAGTAAATGTTCTAGAGCAGGGATTCTTAAATATTTTGCAGCACTGCACCCCCTCTCAATTTCAAAACACCCCCCCCCCCCACATTGTATAAATTATATTGTAATACAATGTTCAAATCATAATAATTAATAATATAGTTCCTGTCGTGTTAGTTCTCTAATTAACATCCTAGAAACAAGAAAAAAAACTAATACAAGTAATGCACAAACAAAATTCACCAGAAAAAACATTTACTGCTGCGTATCAAAATGCGTAAAAACTTGATTTTTTAAACAAGGCAGCAACAACTAACAATGGCAGCAAATAGCATTTTCTGGGTCTTCCGCACCTCAAGGGTTGCTTTAACCCCTGCTTAAGAACCACCGTACTAGGGGAATGTTTTTGACACAGGTGCAGCATTTTGACATCCATATGAGGTGGACATTTTTAGGGTTTGTTAAGGACAGTAGTGGACAGAGGGATTTTTTAGGGGGATGGGGGTGTGCAGAGGTTTGTGACATTTTGAGGGAGGGGGGGGGGGCGCTAACTTTTTCTAGATGATTTATGCGCATGGTAACAGTAGCCTTACCACACATTATTTCATTTCTAAAAAAATATTTCTATGCATAATGCGGTATAAAGAAAGATTATGGTTACCGGTATTTATTTTAATATTAAAATCTATACCAAAGTTCAAATCTGTATCATTATTGGGTTTTGAGATAGATATCAAAATTAACCAATTGCAACTTCATATGATTTGTTCTTATTTGGATGAGTGACAAATGAATTAGTGAGTGGTATTTGGCTATACATTTTTGTAACACTTAATGGATTAAATGGGATATTCTTTTAAAAAAATTTTTTTTTAACATTATGTTTTTATTACTTTATAAAATGAATAAAAGCACATTTTTGGAATGTAAAATAATTAAAAAATATTAAATGCTAAAAATACAAAGCCAAAATTTGGTGTGGTTTATTAACAAATTAAAAAGCAATAGTGTTCATTGAATTCATTTTAAAAAATGAAAAAAGACATCAGTTTATCAAGGAAATTTAAAGCTTGTGACTGGCGAGTTTAAATTAAGTGCTTATAAGATTATACTACCGTAATTTTCTTGTTTTGAATTCACGAAAATTTTAATTTGATACTGTTTGAAGACATTTTTTAACATAAGTTTACATTTAATTTTTTAATTTCACAATATTAACAATGCAAATTAAACCCCCCCCCCCCATGTTTTCGGTTTTCCAGATAAATGTGATTATGAATTAATAATAGAAATACTACTTAGACAATAATTTATTGATACGGTACCGGTAACAAAAAGAATGTTTTAACTTTCCAATAAGGATAAAATACTTAAAATAGTTCTTTAATTGTTATTTTAAATGTATTTCTAATATACAATAATAATTATAATACTTAAAAATATAATTAGATACAAGAAGGTGTTGATTTCCATAAAATAATAAAAAATCTCTATCAGTCTTTTAAAGAATTCAAAAGTATTTAAATTGATTTATTTTTTAGCCTTATAATGGATAGATACCTTAGCTCATTCTTATATATGTGTGTGTGTGTCACAAGTGTAGGGAGACAGGTGTATTCAAATGATTACTTGGTGGTTACCCGGTATCAGATAAATTATCTAAAATTTGATCTGAAAAGACTGCCAAGTTCCAGCTTACATTATGTCACATGCATATGTCATAATTCATAAAACATGGTAATCTCCAAAATATGTTATAGGTAAGTGGCCACAAAAAGATATTAGATTTGCTAAAAGTTTGATTTTTTACTTCTTTTTTTTCCTTAATTGGAGGATGTGATTCTGAAACAACAGTATAACCTCACTGGGAACAATGCTGCAAGTCGGCAAGTGCATTTCAGTTTCAGTAAAAGAGATTGTGGTTATATCCTAGCAACACAACATAAAAATACGAAGAAAAATGACAACAAACAAAACGCCTACTGATCAATGAAAGAGGGCTAAAGATTTCACATATGAAAATGTAAACTTTAGTAGTTGCTAATAATTAGCACTACCGGGCTTAACAACAAAAATAAAAAGTGACTCATTCTGAAGTCATGGCCATGGTCAACATCATACCAATTCAATTAACTGTCATTATCTTTGGTTGGACTTCTTTTTGGGCCTACATAATTTTAATAAAAGACGTAATAAATATATATTTATGACATTTTACCATGTAAATCTCAAATGACACTAACATTAGTGTTCAAGACCGTTCAGTAGTTTCCTATCTCATAGTGTCTGTGATAAAAATTGTAGGGACCAAACAGGAAATGACCAACAAAAACAATGACACGGCGTGGTGCAATAGCCACTGACCGCATACTGGACACATTCAAGCCAACGGTAAAACAGGGGCGTAACTGATCAAACTTTAATCATCAAAGATGTACAAACTCACGTCAGTGAATGATACTGAAAGAAAACAGAGGCTAGCCAAACATGATTTAAACGAAACAATTTTTAAAGCAGAAGTGAGACAAGAATGTTTCCAAAAATAACAGAAGACCGTCAGTGTGCAGTGGAACTGTAGGGGGTCGGGGAATTTTGTTGGCTCTGACTACAAAATTTATTTGTTTACGGTTTACGCCGATGAATGGCCACCTCAATTTGATGGAGAAAATCATATAGCCTACTATTTACTTTCAATAGTTTCAATATGGTTAATTAAATCTATTCATACGGTGATTACAATAGGCTAAATTATTAAGAAAGTATGAAGCATAAAACAAATGCGATTAAACAATGTAACCCAATTTTTAGCGACTAGGCCAAAAGCACAGGCGTGATTTTATGCTAGTCAATGCTAGGGGCAGAGCCATGCGCGGTGCGTTTCTCTACTACACTGGCCTAAAGTAGTGTCGCTAGGACAAAACTTTCTTTTTATATAATTTTGTTTATTGAAATTGAGCCCTCATTGCCACCAAGGTTTAATTTCGTTTCACCCATTTCGGGGTAATTTACCCATGTTCGCCGACCCCCGGTGAAGGTCTACATTACCGTACATGAATTCTATAACTAAAATGTCTCAATCTTGTAGGCCTGTGCTTGACGGCAAATTAAATACATTTTTAAATCAGGGGTGGTTTCTTTGGTATTAATTGATTTTATTTAAAAGGAAAGAATTACGATTCGGTACATAGGCCCTACTCGTGTATAAGTTGATAAATTTTATTTATACACTTAATTTAAAAAGCGTGGTCGACTTATCCACGGTCACGGCTTGTTTCGATACAGTTTGTGACTGAGTTGTGTAGAATGCGATGCAAAATGGCAATGTCGAGTTACCGGTAGGGCTAGTGTAGGCCTACTTTCCGGTACTGTAAATTGACACAGACACGATGTACGCACACACATAGCCAGAACAGATTTTGATGCTTGGCTGAAATCTGATACGGTACAGTAGCTAGCCACATGCATCATCGCCGACTGCAGAGTCCGCCAGCCTCTATCGTCGGGAGGAGAGAAAACACTGAAAATCGCGGGGATGTCACTTGACTGCAAGGGATAGAAGGTCTCATGACACCGCCATAGCTTAGCATATAGTGCAGCAGTTGCTGCTAGGTAAAAAATATGTCAATAGCCCCAATTACTACCCTGGACTCATACACGAGTCATATTTCATAATTTTTGGTAAAAAAAACTGCCATCGACTTGTAAGAGCAGCTTATTCGGTGATCAAAGTCAAAGTAAAAACAGAGGTACCCTGTAATAGTATACTCGGCCTGCTGCAGGAGATAGCCTAATCACCCCCTCCCCACCTCCATATGCCTGACGTAGCCTATCAGAGGCGTAGCGAGGGGGGCAGATGCAGTGATTATTTCAGAAATTTCCCCCCGGGGGCACTTCAGTTTTATCCGGGGGGGGGGNGGGGGGGGGGGGGGTCAGTGCCAGTTGATTTATTGTTGGACATATTTTTGCTCCGGGGGCACTTGCCTTCCCCGGGGCTGCCCCCCCCCGATATATAACTGAAAGAAACCCTGGACAGATGTCCCCCGGGGGCCAGCTAGTTAGGGGCGCCAAAATGTGCTTTGATATTATTTTATTGATGAAAATAATGGGTTTGAGTTTGAGAGTTGAAAAAAGAAAAAGGGGCGCTTTAAATTAATCTTATCTTCAGGCGCGAATCTTGTCCCACGGCGCCAAAAACTCTCGCTACGCCCAGATTACAATCCTTCAAGAACATATTTTTTTCCACCACAAGAGAGTATGAATTTTACCAAGGGTTCACGCGGCATTTATTTTCTATCTGAGCATAAGCTCATCAAAATCTTCAACTCAGGAGTGGGCAATTTACAGCCCACATGCGACTCGCTGAAATGTTTAATCCACCTGCAAGACATTCCGGATACTGGATTAATGTCATCGTGACAAATTGTGAATGATTATCTATAAAATAAAATAATAAATTAGTACCGGTACGGTAACCAGAGTGTAATAAAGGCTACTGGGTAACTGTAATGATTGAAAAAGTAAATCTTTTATTCTCTGAAAAATATGGACCCGTCAAACAAGTTTAATGATTTCATAAGCATTGGAACATACCGGTAACTGTTAAAAAGAAGCATGGTATTTCCAACTCTAGATGCCTATACATTATATTATAGTTATAGCGAGACCCGCCAACACATTTAATTGCCATGCGGCCCTCTAAAAAACAACTGCCTAAAACTTTTCTTATACCGGTACAGCATGTGCTTATATGTTTCCAGGATGTACTAACACCCACTAGCGAAGTTTATGAAGTTAGGATTAAGATAATGACTTGCACGTACGGTAGGTAGGATTATGATGCTGTGCTGTCATATATGATATTTGGGATAAAGTCACTGTGATGTACGACAGATGGGATTCATGGGGTGCTGCTGTTGACATATATGACATTTGGATACAGTCACTGACATAGATGATAGTTGGGATGATGATCTGGCATATATGACATTTGGAATAAAGTCACATGACCGTTGGGATGACAATGCTGACTTGTATGACGGTATAATAATGCTGGAATATATAACTTTTGGGATGACGATGTTAATATATATGACAATTGAGCTAATGATTCTGACATGTATGTAGTTGGGATGATGATGCTGACATACCGGTATATAACGGTTGGGATGCCATGCTGACATATGGGATGAGGATGATGTCATAAAGACAGAGCTATAGGCCTACTGATTTCTGCCTAATTTGATCCAACTCATAAGTTGAACACGAGATAAATGAAAAGTACTTTTTAAAATGATTAGTACAAAACATCGCTCAGTAAATTATATAATATATATTAAAAAAAAAAATTGTAACATATTAAACTAAGCATAGAGGTTAAAGAAAAATTTATAAGCGAGAGGGGTTAGATGCCACAACGTACCAGGAGCTACTGTATCCTATATACCAGAAGCAACTGACCCTCACCTACGAGGAGCAAATGACCCTCAGATACCTGGAGCGGTATTCGCAATTCTTTAAAAATAAATTGGTTCAACTGAAATTTGTTATGAATGAAAGTTGGTTCTAAATAAAATTTATTAAATGGAGATTTATTTAATTATTTTTAACATATTTTTTAAAGGGGAGTTGCGAGTGATTAATGGGGAAAATGAAACATTTTAATAAACATTTTCTTTTCCCCCCATTATTTCATTTTGAACAAACTTCCATTCAAACAATTTTCCATCAGACAAATTTCTGGTAACTGACTGAAGCAACTTACCCCAAGAGGAACTTACCTCAGATGCAAGGAGTGCAACTGATCCTTAGATACCAGGAGCAACCGACCCCTGATACAGAGAGTGTAAATGACACCCCAATAAAGGAGGAGCAGCTGCAGATACCAGGAGTGCAACTGACTCCTAGATACCAGGAGCAACTGACCCCCATAATTTTCTCTATATTTATTTGTTTATTGCCATTTTAGAATTTGTCAGAAATTTTTGGAGTACGGGTAATTACATGTCTTCAAATATCCACATGTAATACAATGGGTCATTCATAAATAAGTCTTATAATTACATGCACATGAAATCAAAAGTGCCACATCATTCATGATGCGCCACACAATTTTTATATTAATTTAAAACAAATTTAAATATAAAAATTTTTGACATGGGCATGTCGTTTTAAAAATTAGGTGGGAATTTCTATTACATAACCTATATCTAAAAATCTAATACAATTGCATTTTTGTTTTGTTTGATGCTGGTCCTAACTGAAGCGGTGTATGTTATTTTTAACTTATTCAAGGACAGCAAGCAGTTTTGGAGCCATGGGTTGCCAACCACTGGTCTTACTCTTGTTAAAAAACAAAATGAAAAAGTAATACGTCTAGGGCAGCATTGAAATTTCATTGTTTCATAATTAGAAGCAGTAATTTTGCAATATTTAAAATATTACTTTATGCTGTATTGCAACACAGCATGTTTCTTTACTGTGTCTTTTTTCTTGTTAAGATGACAAGATTTATCCATAAAAGGTCAAATGGCATTAAATGGAGGACTTTTTCTCAAAGAGTGAAGACTTTTTGTCAAAGCATGAGTGGGGTGGGAAGGCTAAATAAAGTTATTAGAAAAAATCAATAAAAAGCAAAAAATATGTTTAATTTTGGAAAATTAGACAAAAAAATAATTTAAGTGGCAGTAACCACAAACCATTCTTTTTCAATCAGGACAAATTAATAAAAGAAATATTGTAAGAAAGATAGCAGAAAATGAACTCTGTAGAACAGGCCTGCACAACTCAAAATGTAAGGCGGGCCGTAATACTTTATGAAAAACTTGTGCGGGCCAAAATAAAATAGAACATGACTTGTGCGGGCCAAAAGAAAATATGACGGGGGGGAGGGGGGGGGGGAAATAAGCCATTAAGAAAATATTAGGAATAAAGAATATTTCGAGTAATACTTTATGAAAAACTTGTGCGGGCCAAAATAAAATAGAACATGACTTGTGCGGGCCAAAAGAAAATATGACGGGGGGGAGGGGGGGGGGGAAATAAGCCATTAAGAAAATAATACGAATAAAGAATATTTCGTCATTTCACGGGCTGCTAGTGCGTGTCGGCTGGCCGTATGTTGTGCAGGCCTGCTGTAGAAAGTTGCCCTCCACAGGTGGTAGGTAGGTCAGAAAAATTAGTTTTAAACATGTTTGAATGTCCTATGATAATGATAAGACCCTTAGCTGACACTTCATTTTTTAAATTACTATTACAAGCTTAAACACACCCTGAGTGTTAAATATTCTATGCAGTTATGTGTATTTAACAAATGTAACTCAAGGTAATAAGTTAAAAGATATTCTTACTATTTTTTCTTTTCAAAGCAAGTCGCTTCTCCTCTGGAGAATCAGTCTTTGAAGAGAAGTTCAGTTTTGATTGTATTAGTTCTTTCTTTGACATTACACTTCCTCTGTAATCAAGATTATACATCCCATAAGATTCAGATATTGACTTTCAGTTTTAATCAATTTTTAAAATATTTTTAATTGATTTTAATTTTATTGAGTCAATGTAAACATATAATTATATATATATATGTAATAATAGTTATTAAGAGTATTTAAATTTATAAAAATAAAAATTAATTGCTTATTTTTAAAAATTTGAACAAATAAGGTTAAATCAAATGGATAAATAGGGAGTAAGCCATAAAATAGTTCTGGGGTTTCGCCTTCCTTTAGGCATAAGTCTAAGCAATTTTAACCAAATTTTTAATAACTTTAAGAATAAAATCTGGCATACTTCTCTTGACACAGCTGCAAGGAATTAATACAATTTTTCATGATATACCCGTACTTTCGACAACTACTTCAAAAAATTTACTTATGAGATTATGAGTGAGAAGAATATATGCAAATGATTGATTGTTTTCTTTGCATGAGTATTTATAATCATAAATATCTCCAGGGAAGAGCATAACTACTTGAACTATTGTTGCCTTTTAAATTTACCCCGGTAATACTTTATTTTTGGAGAACCTGTGTTAGGATGTGAAGATGCTCCATAACTAACTTCTCTTTGTCTTTTGGTCTCCCTATTTAACTGGCCAAGTGAAGACTTACAGAATGTAGGCCTACATGCTATTTACAAATAGAACTCCCACATCTTGCATCTCCCAGTGGACGGCCATGTTCCATTTTACTATCAATTTATACTTTCTAGATCCTGTGACACACTAAACCCAGTTAATAAAATTCATTGATACATCCTATATTAGTATTGAGAAGAATACTTCAAAGTATTGTATTATTCTAGTTTAATTTAGAAGTGTCACATTAAAGGTACAGTACTGGTTTTCCAACAAATCTGTTTCGCTGGTTTTTTAAAATTTGTAAGAACTAAAAAAAAGCAGCAGTAACCTCAACAAAACATCAAAGTGTTGTAACACAGCCATGGTTAAAGAATTTCTCTAAGTAGTTAAAAAGCAAACTCATTCTAAAAAAAAATTCTCATCCCTCTTGCGTTACGGTACCGGTGCTTATTTTAAAGATGCATGCAACTTAACAATTTAAATATTTTAAAAGACAAATAGTGGCAAACAATGTATTAAGTGGCAATTTTTAATCAGGGTTATTCCAGGAAATTAAACACGCACAAAACATGTCTCATGGCCACCAATTTTAATTCTTTTTCAAAAATATAATTGATCCATAGAGCATATATTTGTTTATTAACTACCGAACATTGAAATTGGGGAGATGGGTTTGTTTTGTTGTCACTGAAGCTGCCCATACCTGAGACTTAAGATTTCACTGTTTACCCACACTTCTTATACAAGTGACTAGTGATTTGATTAGGTTTTTTGATAATTATTACAATAAATAGCACCAGCATCAAAACAAAGAAAACAGTAAATTTAAAATATGGATTTTTACCAACAAATTTCATACTAAAGTTAATGAGGGTTAGAGGATTTTTTCATTGATGCCCTAATCTTGTAAAATGAAATTTAGTACCTAAAAGTTACTTAATATAAACTCAAAATTAACAACCACATTTTGAAGCCGCTGACCCACTTTGACCCTTGCTGAATGTGCCCACGGCTTTCATTAAATGGAAGTGATATAATGACGTAAATATGAAAGTAAATAACTTCAAAGTACCAGTATGGCCACTGTAGGGCGGTAAGGTGAGGTAATAGGGACTCTAGTAGGTGGAAAGGGTGGAACTGTAAAGAAGTGAGGGTAAGGGAATAGATTTAGATTAAGGGGAGGAATGAAGTTGTTTTTTTTAAAGTGGGTTCATTTGTTTAGGACAGGGGTAATCAATGTTTTCTATAAAACAATGCAATAAAAGTTACACATTAATATTCTACAAAATACAATGCAGTATTTTAACAAAATATTGGCTGTTCTTTGAAGGAAGGTGTTAAAGCAATTAATTACCGGTATCTCTAGATGGAATATATACAGTAATTATAATAATAGATTTTATCTTAAGTTGTAGGTAAAATTTTTAAAAAGTTTTGCAACCACAACAATGCAACATTTGCTCAATGATTTTCAGTCACAATGGGCACATCCACAAAGAAAGAACCGTGATATAAAAGACTATTCAGACTGGAAGATGAGCACTCTATGAAGCCAAAGGATTCAAATTGAATGTAGATAAAACATAAAATGTTTTATTTTTACAAATTTAAAAAAATATTTTGTGCACAGACTTATTTTGCATACTGGTAATGCATTTTAAAACTTTTGTAAATTATTTTTTACTAGTTAGTGAGTTTTTTAACATGCCTTTGATAGAAAGACTTTTTAGGATTAAAATTGTAATCTTTAAATTATTGACAAAAATAGAAATATTTACTTTTTTTTAAACATTGAATGCAAACAAAATCCTGGCTAAAGTGACTTAACTCTTTACCTAGGCATTAAACTAAAGAGTAGATCTGAGCTACCTGTTTACTCAACGAAGCAGACATGGTCAACCATAACAATTTGAGCAAAAGTGTCAACTCGCCTCCATGGACCCAGTATTCTTTTCCAGCTATTCACCAGGTGAACACTGCACAAAGATGGCTTGAAATGTCACGTGTGTAAACAAACCAATAACGCTGCATAAACAAGATTACGCACCACACACAAGATGGAATTGAGAGTAGTGAGAGACTTTAAAAAGTAATTTTATGCTTAATTTAACTTACCCACAGTAGGCAGTAAACTTCTTGCAATAGAGCCGTTTTAGTATTTTAGGAAATATGGTTTTGTGCATTTGTATGTACTCTTCATGGTCATGAGCTCTCTGAGATTGATATCAAGCAACACATTTGATAATATTGGAAAAGAATGGAGGAGTTAGAAAAGGATCACGGAGAAAATAATGATTGTCTTAAGACTAAGATACCCATTTTTTGTATCCTTGGGTGAAGTAACATAACTGTACACACTATTGTACTATAAAAATGAGATCCCAAGTGGCTTATTTTTTACTATTGACTATTGATTTGGGCAATGAGGTGGTGTTCAAAAAATTGTTTTAAGGAATTTTGGTTCACTTCAGACCTAATGAGCCAAACTTAAGAAAAAAAGAAATCCTGGCAACCTTCAGGTGGTGGGGAAAATGCCCAATGGTCTATATTTTATCTATGCCTATTTTCTGCAGTATCATTTTAAATAAAAAAAATAAGAAAAAAAGAAATCATATTTGCAAGCTTTCAGTAAGTATCAAAGCATTTGCTTTGACCATAAGAATCAAGAAAGTTTTTATTCAACATTTTAATTTGGTATGAAGTATGAACAGATGTCAGACATATTTTGGGTTTAATTTTGGGAAAATCATACAATTTTCAATAATGTTAACAACTTTAAAAAGTAACCTAGACTGTGTCACTGTATAATCTGTCTTAGAATAAAATGTGAGTTGTGACCAGGGTTGTGGAGTGGAGCTCGAAACGTTTGGACCAGGGTCTTTTTGCCTGGAGCTGGAGAAGAGCTGGCAAAATTTCTTACTGCTCTCAGCTTTAAAAATTAAATTAATTAATTAACAAATGAAAAAGTACCACATTTTTAGCATTTCATAATGCTTCCTGGAAGGGCTAATAAAAATTTGCTATAATAACCATCATTTGTGGTCTGCCGGTTATGATATTTTTTATTTTATATTATTACAGTTCAAGCAATATTAGTCTTAGTCTGCAAGACATCTTCATTTATTCAGAATTGTAGATGTAAACAATTACATCACCAATTTTCAGGGCTGTCTGGCACTTTCTAATGAAAAGTATAATATTTTTCATTTGAGACCGTCGTTCGGAGGAGTGCCTAGAGGTATTCTTTCGGTGAGGCATTCTTTTTAATTTTCTTTTTATCAAATCATGCCCATCCCATTTGAATTTGTATTAAATATATTTCTTTTCTTTGTCTCATTTATTTTTGCCTGGATATCAGATGAACTAGATCTGTTTAATCTTTTGATACAAATCAAAAAATTAATTACATTTCTTTTTTTTTTTTTTGTATTCCAGAACTTGAACTTTACCGGGTACTGAACTGGATTCATCTCATGTCATTCATGACAAATTTTTCTTTTTTCTTTTATTTTTGCCTGGATATCAGATGAACTAGATTTGTTTAATTTTTTGATACAAATCAAAAAATTAATTACATTTCTTTTTTTTTTTTTGTAGTCCAGAACTTGAACTTTACCGGGTACTGAACTGGATTCAGCTCATGTCAGTCATGACAAAGGTCCAAAAACCAGTACAGTCCTGGTAAAAAAAACTGTAAGAATGGTTACCTTATTTAAGGCTTAATGATATCCCTACACTGTACACTACTTTCAACGCTTAAAGACCTTATTAGCCTTATTTTCATTTGAAAAGTATCCTATCTAAGCGGAAGCTGTATTTTGGAATTGAGGGATGTTTCAACTGATAATGAAATGATAAAGTGCCAAAGAAACGTTTTTGAAAAAAAAACACACATTAACAAGCAAAATAGGTTTGGCTTAGGCTTAATTCTAATGCCTGTCACTGTCACTGTCATGATTCACATTTAAGTGTTTCTAAGAGTCATGCTTTACAATTTACTATACTATAGCTTTAGTGAAGTAAGACATTTTTATTTTCGAAGAAAGCATCGCCATCTTGTTTCCATTATCATTATGAAAATAAGTAAATAAGAGTTTTCAAAACCTTACTTAGTAGACGTAGTAGGCAGTATCAGTAGGCTGTGGCTGTAGGCCTTGCCTTTGCCTTTAACTTTATGTTTAGCCGACAAATCTTATTTTATTTGTCTTATTAGAGATATATTACTGGAATTACAAGTCTTGTAAGAGATTTTAGCTTTTTTTTAAACAGTGAGTCTACTATTTTAAACTTATAAATAATTAAAACAAGCGTACGCTGTAACTAGTGTAACTATTGACACTATTGTCGGCTGTACCTGTAGACCTATTTATGACCTATGGCTAGTCCAAATCGGGAAATCACCAAATTATGTGCATTAATTGAATAACTCTTTTGGCTCAGTTACTATTGGCTTGGTAAATCAACTGTAATAATTAATGTTTAAACCTACTACTTACTAGAAAGTAGTAGATAGTACTTCTAAGTTAATGTGTAACGTCACTAACGTGTGGGGAAATGAAACAAACTATTAATATTCCCGTTTCGTTATAATTCTAAGAAAATACAACTAAACGATAACTCCTACCGAGACTTGACAAAATACCGAAATATGGTATTTTGGGAGATGGCAGATGGCCTAAATAATTGATTCTAACATTTTTTTCGACCACTATCCCCTTTGCCCCATAAACCCTTCCCCAGCATCCCCTACCCACATGTCACCCCTAAGCCCCCCTAAAAAATAAAGATATTCAGGACAATAGTTGTCAAAACTCTGTATGGAAGATCAGTATGGGTGATGTCACCCGGTGCGGTAAACTCATGGTGTCATCCCCCCCCCCCCCC